GGGGTTCAATCGTTGACTTACATTTGAGGTATGTTTTGATGAACTTTCGAATCAGCTTTTTCTCTTCAGTCCGCGAGAACTTGGCTCTATCGGCCATCTGCAGGTGCTTTTTAATGTAGTCATTTCCAGTGAAACTGCACCCCGAAACCCATCGCACGAAGTTGTACACCGTGAGAATGAAGACGAGAACTAACCAATACCAAACGACCAGGAAAACTATCTCGTTGAAAAGATTGATGGGTAAAACACAGTGCATTTGGTACTCCAGTTTCCGCTCGACCAGGCGTCGCGGAACGTCGCACCAAGTGACTCGCGGGAAAATCTGCGACGAAGGGAACTGTTCGGTTCCGTATCCATTCGACAAAAACGACTGCAACACTTCGATTCCATAAAAGGAATATCCCGGTCCGAGCCAGCGAGTGAGGATGAAAAATTGCATCATGAGGTTGAAAATGTAGAACAGTTTGATGGTGGGGTAAGTGTAGGTGAGGAAGTTTCCGTACTGGCGGCTGATCGAGAACACGATGCGACCCGAGAGACACCCGGCGATTCGGTTGAGCCACGTAGGCCGATATTCTTTCTGAAGCTGCAGGTACCTGAAATTCAAGTTCAACTTCAAGGTCACCATCTAACTGATGGTATCCTTGATTTCCAACTCAAATCTATCAAATTAGATAATGTTAGACAATTTTTCCCGTATCGGATGCGAAAATTATCATTTTTTTTGGAAAAGTATTCGTTTTTTTTGCCAATGACCTGTCAATATGTCTGGCCAGTCGGGCGACAGTGGACTTCCACTCATTCTGGTCGATGATGGTCTCGAAGCGGGACGCGAACTCCACCACCCGCTCGAAGTCCATCCCTGAGGACCGGTACGCCGTCTGCCATAGGAAGTTGGGCACCAGAAACAGCAGGGCTGAAACAGTAGATTTTATGAAAAATAAAGATCTCAGTGGGATTTAAAAAGGCCGGAAAACAAAATAAGAGCATTGCTGGTTTC